AATATTCTTTAACTGCATTTTTCAATTTTTAGAAGTTACAAAAACTGTAAATAATTAGTGGTGAATCAATTAATCGGACGTCGGTGTACACTAGGAAAAGTATTCGTACAGTGGAAAATTTAAAAAAATACCGTACTACTTAGACACTGACACGACTCCTAGATTACGTTACTGCTGTTAGGAATACAAGTATTAATATTAAGCAAACCATTAAAAGAAATGCGCGAATACATAATACGCCTGTAGAAGAGCCCTCTTGACTAACTTGTCTCCATGCGTCCAGACTTTTTACATCTCTGTCTTGAGGTAAATATTATAAAGAACAGTCCTGTCTTATTATAGTTTAAGTTTTAAGTGGGTTTGTTGTACATTATAGCACATAAAATAAATTTTCTAAACGTTCCCCAGAACCACTCAGGCATTCAACTCGAGGTGGCGTCTAACGAAGCATCATTATCATATTTCTCATTCCCAAAACTAATTTCGAGCAAATATGGAGTATCAAAGCCACTAGACAACGTTTTTCTGGTGTTAAGTTTCTTACACAACCGCAACTCTTTTTCGACTGTGGTTGTTTCACATTTTTTTCATCATGCGAAACCTTTCCCCCAACGATGATTCTCCTCTATATTCACTTATAGAAGCTTTAGAATGTTACGAAAGTTTGAGGAACCTTACAATATGACCATTGGTTGAAAACCACGAAGTTAAAAACGAACCGCACTTGTTTGTCGTCAAGGTCGCAAGAACATAACGTATTCATCTCGCAGAGCACACGAAAAGGTTCGAGCGCTCTTGTTAAATGGCGTGCACGAAACGAAGCCTCATCCAAGGATCAAAGTCACCAACGTCGAGTGTCAAAAGTCTGCTATTGAAAACTTTCCAGCCTGTCTTTAGTCCCACTTCTGAATTTTTATCGACAGCGTTTCGTGGGAAGGCCACCGCCGCACTCGAGTCGCGACTTGGCAGCTTGGGCCGAGCTTTGTCTAAGAGTTCTGCCCACCTGCACGGATGTAGGAGAACCACTCGGAATACATTAGCGCTGCTCATGCACCATGTGGGCAAACCCGATATGGGACCGGAGCGTGCAATTGGTGGAAGTGCAGGGCGTGGGGTATGGGTGTCTCCCCTCTGCCACCCGTTTGCCTTGGGGTTTGAACATAACCGTTAAAGACACAAAATCATTGTTTCACGCACAATTTCATTACGAATGCGAGTTAATTTTCATGCGTGCTACAAGGCTACGAATTGAAACGACGAAATCTTTTGGAGGTAAAAATTAAACCTTTCTGAACGTTTTCATCAGAGCTCATTTATTTACACACTTGAATATGATTGACAGAAATCATGTTACAGTACTTTACGGCATTAGACCAACAAACAATTATTGACAAACTGAGTCTGTTATTTGTGTAATAGGCCGCGCGTCGTTCAATATTTTTCGAATTACCATTTTCTTTCAAGAAGAAAATCATATAAAAAAGAAATACCAATTCTTGAAAAAAGGGTACTTATACGCCGTTTTTAACTGTGACTGATTTATTTCGATTGTTCGTAAAGGAAAACGAATCTTTAATTTTTTTTTCGTAATACTGTCCTGTTAATCTGCTTAGCGCAACCCAGCAGAGAAATGAAAAGATAATGTCAATGGCCACTGGCCGTTAACGAACCACATGATCTTCAAACTTTTCAATAAACTTCGAAAACAAATGACAAACAACAGAAGGAAGGTACATAAACAAGATAAATAACCCATACAAAAGTAATATTCGACAGTTCAATTAAAGTATTCTTATTTTTTAACTTTTAATTTCTCTTTGCAATAAATTGAATATTGAATTAACAATTATTATTATTATTATTATTATTATTATTATTATTATTAGTGCTAATGTTTATTCATTCATAAAAAGATCGAAAGGTGCTGACGTCAGCATACTTGAATCCCTTGATGTCGATGCAATCTCGCCGGTGCTGACTGATGAATAACTCTTGATAAATTTTAATTATTTTCGGTACTATTGTTCAATATGTGTTTCTGCTACCGACGAGAACTACCAACCTCAAAGTTCTTTCAACGAGAACAGATCGCCACAGTTTTCGACCAGCTTTGTATTCTGATTTTGTAAAATGAATCCGGACGTCACTCACGAAATAAAATTCTTTAACTGAAACGGAAAAAAGTGGAAAACCAACGTTGATATGACAAATTTTTAGTTAACTTGAAAACATAGTTTCTACATTAAGAATTTTTCCAACAACGATGGGGGAAAGTATGTCTCAGATCTTTCATTAGCAAACGCCAGCATAACGGTTTCTTTTACTTTTTCAATATTCTTACTTTGACGCCAATGTTGAAAATCCTGGTGTATTTTTCTCATACCATATGTTGGTTTTCACGGGTAATAAGTCGAATCTGGCACCACTTGCAATTCCCAAAACATTGTTTGGAATATCCTACATCTTAAAATTTGGTACATACATCTGTTTAAATTTGTGTAGAAACAAAACTACCGCGTCTCACGCAAAAATCGAATTGAAATGAAAAACTGTTGCGTTTGATGCATCGAAGAATCGAATTGAATGGAAGTGGAAGATGGAGTTGCACTCATACGTATTCAAGCAAAGATATTTCTTATTTGTTATTTTTCTTATAAGAATATTGTATTCCGAAATGTATTGAACGACAACACCACTGACAACACAAATAATAGGCTTGATTGTTATAAACTTCAACTGCATCTGTTATTTGGTGCCTATCGGCCTAACTATAATGGCCGCCGACAGTTCAAGAACGGCAGTTCGTTCATCTGTTTAGTTGCATAAAATCAAATTAGAGCACAGTAATTCGAAAAAAACATTATAAATATTTAAACAGTGACGAACGAACTTCAAGAAACTCTTTTACATTCTCGTTCGACACCCAACATTGACTTAAAATCAAATAATCAGAAACTAATGTAGGACATCCAATCATCAAGACGACAGGGTGTTGAACAGTTGTGTGATGCTAAAAAGTTTAATTAATAATAGTGTTCAACATCGTGAATCTATTACTCAATTTTCTGGATGTGAGTTTCTGAATCCATCGAAACTCGCTGGCAATCAACGAACATGTGGTTTCTGTCACAGAAAATATTTGTTTTCCATGGCAAATAACGAAATCATATCCGAAAATCAAAATAAATTGTTTAATTATTTTGGATTGCATCCAGAGAAACCAAACACACCAAAGTAGTCACTATTCCATATAATATATCTACAGGTTCTACCACTTCTGTTTTCTGGTAGCTTTTTTCTAAACTCTTTCATTCATCCCACTGTTAAGAAGTCTCTGTGAATACTGCTGTCATAATGCTGTTTTCGGCCAACTGCAGCCAGAATGTGCGAATGTGTGTCTACGTCGCCTGCATTTCCATCTCAACGCAGCTAACGGCGTCCGTTATTCCAGGCATGCAGTTAGTTACCTTTATTGCACGGTTGGCCGCAGTGACCTATCGCACGCTGCACTGCGATTCAGGCACTCGTAAAACCGAGAAAACGCATCAAATTGCGAGTAGATGACCGCGCTCGGTAAAAGAACTGTTTCCTCGAAAAATCATAAGCTTTACTCTTTGTATTGCGGTTCTTGGAACTCAAACAGCTTCCGTGAATTGCTCGCCCATTGCCACAAAAGGCGTCGGAAGAAACAGCGCGTCAATTATGGACCTTAGAGTAAGGTAATCGATGTAATCGAACAAGGTGCCGCTAGTAGCGTGAAGTCTGACTTACCGATGTTCAGATGTGATGGAAAGCTGTTAGATTTTGATCATGCTGAAATACATTCCTCCTACTTGTAGAAACCGTTTGATATTAATGAAATACTAATCTCTCGACGTACTAAGCATTTTCTGTGGCCTTTTGATTAAGCGTTCTATCGGGAGAATATCAAGTCCCATTGATATAATGTAAAGTACTACAATTTCACGCGATACATATTTACATAGAGCTGTTGGAGAATTAGGATATGTGTGATTAAAGTCTTATGATCGTTTTACTTGTGTAGAAGATTGAATGAGCAATGAAACAATATGGGATTGTAGAAGTATTTTTTTCTTTACGAATATCCTCTAACATTTGTTTCTAGATATATATTCCATTGGAAACTGATCTAAAGAAATGTTAACTTCCTTTCCTTTTACCTAATGTGGTTATTGGAATGTTTATAGAATAAAAGATTTCTTGCAGATGCAAATGTTTTATTCATAATAATAACAACACGCCTTTCCCTTTGTAGTTAACTACTTCATCTCGGGAGGATTTTTAATTGAACTCATCAAAAAATTAAAACCCTGAAATTAATATCTTGGTGATATTAAGAAATATGTTTATCTGTAACATTTTTGTGGTTAAAATTTAAGAAAAGAAGACGAGGAAAATGCTCTCGCTAGCGCTTTCTCATCTGTGCTGTAGTCGCAGGTTCTAACGAAACACTTCAGTAATATAAAAAAGTATTTGGATTGTAATCTTTTAGTCTAGAATTATTTGTAGTCTGTCTTTATTGCTTTCATGTGTCTTATTTACTTTTTACGAACACTGATATTAATTACGTGACGACAACCGTAAAAAATGCCATATATCCTAATGCAGACAGGTAACGTTAATTAGATAAACGTATATTCTTCTTGAGACCTGTGGACACCACGCCCATGAATGAGAATGGAGGACTTGATGAAAGGGTACCGTTCAAAAGCGATCTGAACGCTTTCTGTGCCTTCTGTGGCATTGTGTCCTGTCGATCTCCCACCGCCGAACAGGCCTTCGAGAGCTGTGAATCGGCGCGGGCCTTTGTGTGCATGTGTGAGTGTGTGTGTTGTGCCCACGCTCTCCGCGTGGCCCCCACGCCTTTCGCCTCTCCTCTTCCCCTCGTGCTTCGCCCGCCCGTAAGGGTCACGGCTGCTTCCAAGACTGACGGCCTCCCCCCCTCTCTCTCTGCGCAGGCCCGCTTCCAGAAGAAGCAGATGGAGGAGAAGGAGCAGAAGCTGCTGCGGCTGTACGAGAGCCAGCAGCAGCGCGCCTTCCAGCGCGTGGGCCGCGGCAGCGCCGGCGGCAGCTCCACCGCCTCGCTCTCCTCCAGCACGTCCACGCTGGCCTCCGTGGGGCTGGGCGGAGGCGGCGGCGGCGGCGGAGGCGCTGGCAAGGTGCGACAGCTGTTCGAAGAGCGACGCACCAACGGCTGGGACCGCAGTTACCCTCTGGAGCCCGTGGCGGGCGGTAAGGCGCGCTCCGGCCCGCACCCCGCGCAGCAGCAGCAGCAGGCGTTCGCCCACACGCAGGCGCTGCCCCTCGCCGTGCCCAAGACGAAGGTGGCGCGCGGCGCCAGCCTGGACCGCTCGCACGCCGCGCACGCCCCGCACGCCAAGAGCGTGGCCCGCCGCTCCAAGAGCCACGCCCGCAGCGAGGCCCTGCACGCCGCCGACGACCCGGCCGCCAACAAGCTCTACTACGACGGCGGCGGACACGGCTACCGCAAGATCCCCGCCGCCAGCAACAACGCCCACCACCACCACAACAACAACAACAACCACCAACACCACGTCGACGAATACAACAACCGCAACAACTACCGCCGTCAGCAGGTGGCGCCACCCCACGACGACAACTACGAGGACGATTTCGAGGACGACGTCAACTACGAGACGCTCGGCGAGGACGTGCCGCGCCACGCTCGCAACGGCAACGGCAACAGCAACGGCTTCACCGTGCTGCCCGACAAGCGCCAGGAGGAGCTGTTCGCCAAGTACCAGGTGCGCGAGCTGCGCAACCACGACCTGCTGGTCAACACTTCCCCGCCGCCGGACGCGTACGATGTCGACGGCATCGACGACAGCACCTTCATCTACGAGAAGCCGGCCAACGTGGGCGGGCCGTTGAGGGCGGCCGAGGAGCCCGTCAACAACAGCGACCGCTTCAAGACGTACGTGAGCAACAAGCACGGCCAGCGCGCCCTGTACAAGGAGGAGATCACGCCGCGCGCGCCCTCGCACGCCATGGCCACCAGGGCGTCGGAAGCGAAGAAGGCGCCCGCGGGCCGCAGGGAGTCCCTGTCCCCGCCCACCCGCGCCGCCCCGGCCGCCAGGCCCGCGCCCAGGAAGCCCCAGGAGGTACGCACCCCCGCCACGCCACGCGCCCTGCATGCGCGCCTCGCCGCCCCTCGCCCGCAACGTCGCAAGGTCACTCTTTATTGCGGACGCTTCAGCAGCGCGATATTACGGTCATTGCTAGAACTGGCGGTGCTACAACAGCAAATACTTTCTCGGATCATTGGTAACGGTTAATGTATATTTTATGACAATGCAACTTCCATCGTACTAACATATCAGCAATCACAAAAAAAAAAAACCCTCTAACGAAACGGAGAGTGAATATTTAATTTTTACTTTCTAGAATACGTAGTTTAGAGAGATTTAGGTAAAGCTGCCCCAAATCGTTACCCCGATTTTTACAGAAATACATTTTTCAGGAGGTCTCTGACGGAAGTAGTTATTTTTCGTATTACGTGTTCAAAGTGGGTGTTTTTCTCATCGCTTACATGAATTTTTTTGAAAAGTTCTGGAGATAGGCGCTGAAGGCAAAGCCACTCACCATACGTCGATGCACCGCCAACAGCACTGCACGGAAACAAGGGTTGTGCTTTCTAATCTTCTAATCCGGTGTAAGGCAAGGACGATCGGCAAGAACAAGCCTTGTCATATCACGTAATATCCATTTCCTGAGATTACAATTGTCTGTTACTCGATTGATTAGAGATGTACGCAGAGAAAAGGATCCCCCTTAGTAGAAAAAATAATTTGCAAGAGGATCGATCCACACACGAAACACATTAACTCGTTATTTTCCTAAGAAATATGTTCGGAATACGGAAGTCTCTCAAGTAAACTGGTATCCCCTTTAAGGAGATCATTACTACTAGATTACACTTTCTGATTAATAAAATAACTCGCATCATGAAAAAAATTTCAAAAAAATGAATAAGATGTAAAAAATATTCATTCGTGTATTTGAGTGTGTTCCATAAGAATGAGATGTGGGTTGTAAATGAATTAAACTAAAAGCGAAGCACATTTAATGTAACAAAAGAATTACAGTATACTCTGATAAAATAGTAGTTATTAAATGCATATTTTGCCGGTCGGGCTTTATTCAGCCGACAGCCGGTTACCCTTCTCATCCCGATGGGATGTATATTCCACTATACACTAGACACATAAACGCTTTCGGGCTCCACTGTTCTGGGGTCAGCAGAATGCGAGTCCTTCCGCAACAACATACTTGAGAGACAAGGGACAAACAACGATGCCCAAGGCAGGACTTGAACCGACGACCCTTCGTACCGAAGCGCTGAGTTGGTACACACTCTTGGCTACCTCGGCTATCCAGGTCGGCTAAATTCACATTTTATTAGTACGAAATCCAATGCGAGGAAATAAAATTAATCGTAAATCACGAACTCATGTTTCGACATATCGATTGTGTACTTTTATGCAACAGTCTCTGGGACTTAGGGTTTAGTATAAGGGGAAGCAACACGAAAGTAGGAATTGAACTAATCAAAATCTTCGAATCCAGTTCCTACTCAAGATTAGGATGTCGTGAGGATTTGTTTCTTACCAAAGCAGGCTTTAGAACAGGAAAAGTAGTTGAATAAAATGCAACATTTCTGTAACAATTTGACTCACTACCAATCGCATTTCATTTATTGTGAGTTGCCAAAACCAAACCGAAAACTTTATAATGATAAATGCGAAAATAATAAAATGATATAAAATGTTAGATGTAGGGTAGGACCTTATCTTGACAGCAATATGAATATTTTGAGTGAACTAGTCAGTAAATAACATGAGGAAGGCAAATGTCCATTGTGCTGATCAAAATCCGCATGCGTCAGTTTTCCTCTCAATGTCGTAGACTGTAATGTGAATAAGTTTTCGAAATGTTTGCTGAAAGTGTTTAAAATTATTTATTTTTATGTGGGTTATTATATTTATTATATATTTTCTTATACGTGGATTTGAAAATAAGTTTAACAATCTTCGTTAAGTCGAAACGTTCTCCATGTTTATTTATGTCATATGGCCTTGCATCAGTATTCCGTATTGAAACATTAGTGGGATAGCGAAGTAACACTGAGTTCTCGAGATGTTAACGGTGCCAGCCAGTTTTAGCACTTATTTTGCTTATTAGTACACTTTTTTTAAATGAAAATTTATTGTTATCTGAATGTAATGAAAAAATTATCAATGGCTTAATGTTTCCTACAATAAATATTGACCTTGCGACTTGATTTATTTTCAACTGGTAAAGCTATTCTTCTACTTCTAATCACACTCACGTAGATACCCAATGCCTTTCCTAGACATTACATTTATAGAATGATTATTCCGTTTGACGCTAACATTAAGATTAACATTTTAAGTTCTGGAGATAAAAGTGCGTTCAAAGTGAAAGCCATCACCTTGGGTATCGACGTTGCAGCACATTGCACGTAATTAGCAATTCTGCACAACCACAGAAACTGCACGAATATCTTTCTTTAAAAGTGACTTTAAACAAGCACTCACTACTATGTGTGCACTTTCAATAACTGCTTATGAATTTCAGTAGTTAGCGAGTGGCATCCGAAAATATCAATCATCATTTTCTCTGAAAAAGTTATGTTGATGGTGTTTTTCTCATACACATGTTTCGTGTTATCTTACGAAAAGCTATATATTATGTACAATGATCCAGTGCTAATTGTTGAAAATGTGTTCTTGACGCCAGTGTTTCATAGCAACCATGAATGTATGATACATGCATTTAACTTTGTGATTTGTATTTATTTATGCTGTCAACGACGAGGAAGGTGTACTTATTATTTCTTTGCTACTTTCCATAAGTTATCCTAGTAGAAATGACAGTTCAGTCATTCTTTTCAATATCTTTAATGTAGCTGTGGAGTTTTACATGTTTATCACTTATTTTAATGTAATCTTAGGATAATGTCATGGAAAAAGTGTTTGAATGCATTTTGATTTATGTTTTTCTAGCATTGTGTTCCATCTTTTCGTCAATGACGAACATATACCAATTAGTCACAGTATTTATATTCTTGCGATAAAACTAAATTATTTACTTATGTTCCATCCACATCTCAGACATGCAGTTCATTCGTAGATAACTTATTCAGCTGTTGCCAAAGGCTACTATGGTGATTTTTTAATCAAAGCAAGTGACTCAACTTATGAGTAAGCAATAATTAATTAATTTTCATTAGGATTACGTTTCCTCTCAAAAATGTTACTGAAATAATTTATTAGTATTAATTAAAAATATATGTAATACGTTTTCCTTAAAATTAATTCTGCGGAAAAGTGAAATACCATTGAATATAATATCAGTATGGCATCGTACTGAAATGCGCATTTCGGCATTTTTATAGGTGAACAGTATGGATACTACGTCTTTCAATATAGTTTGTATCGTCATACCTACAAGGAGAGGAATACAGTGGTCAGAAGGTTGAGAAATGTCAACACCAATATTTCATATTTCAACACTGTAATTCGGAGAAACACAAAAGCAATGGAACTCCTTGCGACAAACTGCACGGGCTCGCTTAGAGATAGATTATCTCTCCGGGAGTCACCGCGTTACGTTCCGGCCGACCTTTCTCAGAGCATTATGCAGGTCTCAATACGACGGCCGAAATGTTGGCAACTGAACCTAGAGCGCGGCGTGTCCAGGTCAGCCTAGAATCTGTAGTTTCCGACCGCGGAAGTCTACGCTTTTGCTTAGGAGTAGCTTGCGAAACGACAATATCCGCCTACTAATATGATGTATCTCATTCGCATTTCGCGGCAAACTAAAAACGTGCGTAGTGCGCAGTGACTTACGACAGTCATAATTGGTTTCACGCCAAGCGACTAAGAAATCGTCTTTCTTCTTGACCATGGGCGTACTGGAGTACGACGACGCTGTGTGGGTGATAAACCCGAATCGCGCGGTGTATCAGCGACGGAGCGTACAGGGTTGCGAATCGGAAGTCAGAAGAGCGTGAAATAACCAAATCCTGGGAATAACGTCACAACTTTATTGCTAACGTAAATACAGTTGTTACAGCACTTTCTCAAGATGTCCCCCACTTATGGCTATATAATAGTGTCCGTTCCACAATTCTCCGTCGCTCACGCTCCAATGTTCTGAGGCGAAAACGATCTTTGCCTTAGTCCTAGAAGGAGAAATCCAGGTGTGCCAAGTCGAGTGATCGTGACAGTCAAGAGACTGCGGGTAACCTAGCGCCGCCCCACGTAGTAGCGATCGGGAAACGCTTCGAAAAGACAACACACACTCATACTCTTACATACACTATACTACCACCCACGCCGGAGGCTCAAAGCCTGTTCCAGCTGCGGTGGTGCTTTGCTGGGGACACGTAGAGGCTGGAAACCCCGCCAGTCGATACCGGAAGAGATGGCTTAGGGCGTCAAGTGATGTCACTGCTGTCCCTCTGACCAGGAAGTCCTAAGTTCGAGTCCCGACGGTAGCAGGATTTTAGACACTGGCTTGTTAGCTAGGTCGAATTCTGGAGGAGAATTTTAGCGGCCGGCTGCTCTGATCGGTAGTTTTCCGTGGTTTCTCTGATCAGCGAATGCCGGTGCAGTACTCTAACAAACGGGCCACGGACCGCGCGCGATCTCACCTTCCTCTTCCTTGTCCTATCCTCACCCCTTACTTACACACACTCACCTACATGCACAACATGCCACACATGTCGGGAGACCAATCGGTATTGATCGTAAACCAAATTGTCCCGGCTGGGGTGGTGCCCCACTGGTGGGAATATGTGGTTGAGGAAAGCCCCGCCAGCCGACATGTATCAATTTCAAGCGAGAGGGGACACTGACACCTTCTTAGTTAAAACAAGCACTACGCTTACGATACTAATTATCACAGCAGTTGATGCGCCCGGAGCTCGCAGAATAAATTGAAGTTTAGTCAACAAAAATAACCCGGCGCGGCGCTAACAGATCGTTATCTCCCAATTCAACCGGTTATAAATTGGCACCACCAATAGGTCACACGTGTTTTCGCTGTTGTTATACAGCTGTCACTTTCAATCAAATAAACGTTGCCTCCTCCATGTATGTTGCATACGAACAAATGTAATTGGAAACAAATGGTGTCACTGTGCTCCCGCGGCGAGAATCCTTCAAATGCTCGTGTTCGTCTGGGCGACGCTACGCAAGCTTGGTCATTTGGGAGTTTGTGTCCTGAAAAGGCTGCGATAGGGTGGCCGGAACTTTAACAAAATAGCCTACGACGCAGCGACGTGGGAAGGTATTACACTGTCCTAACCTCAAACCGCAAAAAAAAAAAAAAAAAAAAAAAAAAAAAAAAAAAAAAAAAAAAAAAAAAAAAAAATAAAAAAATTAGTAATGCACATAATTTATCTCCAGACGCGTGGGAGATCTAAAAATGTCAACAAAAAAAGTGTCTTGTCCATGTTATATTATTGCAATTAAGTTGAATTTAAGCTCA